TTTTATTATTTAATTTTTAATTATTTTTTATCTTCAGTTCCGTGAGGAATTCTGATGTGACCCTTGGCCAAAAGTTGTTTGTATGCAATTCTACACAACATTTTTTTTTTCAGATTTTTTTGGAGTTTTTTTTTTCTTTCTTTTTTTTTTTTGCGCAGGGGCTGCCCAAGCCCGTGCCCGGGGGTCATGCCCGGCCGGTCATCCGGTCGCCAAACCGGGCGTGACATCGGGGCCCGGCCGCCCAGGATATCTCCCTAGGGCGGGGGGCTGAATCGAAGTTCGCAAGCACTGCTAAAATTCAGAGATGGGCTGCACAAAATTGTTTGAGGGCCGCGCAACAGGTAAGAAAAAAAGAAAAAAAAGAAAAAAAAAGTGAGGGTGGGATCTGCAAGAGACAACTGTATTTAGTAAAAGAACTTTGAAAGATACACCAGTGATATTGCTTTCTTTCCAGGTCGGGTTCAGTCATGATGAGGGAACGTTGGGGACCTTTTCAAGTCTTACCTGCCGCCACAATCCGAGGTGAGGGCTGGTTGTACCTCTGCCAGTCAGATACGGGCCTCAGTCCATCACTCACTGAATATGCAATATGAATGACGCCAGCAGACAATATAAATGGAGGAAAGGTACGTTGGCCATTACCTGCACTGAATCCGGCGGCCTCTCTCCACTACTCACCACATGCACAAACGTCAAAAAAACGCTGGTGTATCTTTGCAAGATCCATTCCCGTTTTGCACATTTAACATTGTACTCACACTACAGGCCTCACTTCACTACTCATCAAATGTGCAAAATGAGAGTGAATCTTCAGCTGGAACATTGAAAGATACACCGGCAATTGTGTCTGTCTTTTGTGCATATGGTGAGTAGTGGAGCGATACCTCAGGACTTTTGAACGAACTTATGGAGAAAAATACGGTTACATGCATCCAGGTTCGGCTGTAAGGCAGTCGGATGAGTTGAATGGGCCTGACAGTGTCCACGAGCGGGCCGGTCAGTTCAATGATGGTATCTCCAGGATGAAGAAACGACAAAAGCCATGAAAGGTAAAAACAGCAGGTCTATTGGGCCAAACAAAACGCCCTGTGTCCAGAGCACATTCTGTCCGTTGATAAGGGCATTTTGTTTGGTTCGATAGGATCAGGACAAGCGCATCAGCATACAGCGAAACAAAAACGAGTGCACACAACTCACACACGCCAACACGTGGCGGAGGGGAGGAAAGGGGCGTTCAACAGTACGCGCGCATGTACGCATGCATGAAGGCCAATCGCCCGTACTGCAGCGCACTGCCCATGCCCACACACTGCGCAGGGCACGCATGTGCACGTGCCTCACTCACGAGCGCACAGTGCATGGCGCACCGCACGGCGCCCCGCATAGGTGTGCCGCAAGTATGATACCCAGTATTACCCACCGACTGCCAACGCCAGCCACTGACCGTTTTGCAGCCTACCAGTAGCGCCGACCGGTTGGCGGTGTGCCGTCCAGTCGGAGACCGCCGACCGGTCAATAGAGGGACATCTGCTGATTTTTTTTCAAATCTGAGTTCAGGGCTGTACTGCACTTGCTGAGTACAGCCCAAATCCACTGAGAAACTTTTGGGGATGGGGGGTGGAAGAAGGGGGGGGAGGTATGGTGGCTGTCTCTTATACACATCTAGATGTGTATAAGAGACAGCCAGTGTCGCGTCTGTATTGCACTGCAGCTTTTTTTTTTTTTTTTTTTTTGAATTTGGACCTTTTCTTGATTGATGCGTGTCATCCTTGCGCAAGGGCCATGCTAATCTTCTCTGTATCGTTCCAATTTTAACGGATGTTCTGGAGGACTGCAGCAGTGTTAAAAAAAAAGAAAAAAAGAAAAGAAATCGAAAGCAAAGCAAACTGAACAATACAGAACTGAGAACAAACAAAATTCTAAGACACACGAACTCAGAACAGATAAATTTTACTCTCATGTCTGTCTGGAAAAAAACACTCCCCAAGGGTCTGATGATGAGATGACCAAGGTTCTCTAGGCCGGCTGAAGGCCTTGGGAAAGGGCGTTGGCGGCCAAGGGGTGGTCACAAAAGATGTCCAGGGCCCCAGGCCCTTTGTAGGAGGCCCCAGCATGCCACACTCTACGATTACTATAGGGTAATCCTCTTCTTCTTCCTCTTCTTCTTCTTCTTCTTCTTGTTCTTCATCTTCTTCTTTTTCTTCTTCTTCTTCTTCTTCTTCTTCTTCTTCTTCCTTGCTATAGGCTAATCTCTTACCTAAGAATGATGGTCAAACTTGTCTGCTGGGAAATACCATCCCCTCCTCAGGCTCAGAGTCTGGTCCTTGGTTTACGCGACGGTGGGCAGGACCTGAATGATGGTCAAGGTCTGTGCTGGTCCTTTTTTTAACCAAGCAACCTACTGCAACCGCGTAACTGCTGACCGTCTTCCTACCGTCTTCTCCCCTGAACACAACGCACGCTTGTAACGAATGTATACAAGCTGGCTTTCCGGTCAGGTGCAGCCGTAATGAGGGTGCGTTGTGTTTGGGGGAAGATAGGAATATGACAGTTTACAGTCTCATTCAGTCCCGGAGAACTATTGCAGGGGAAGCAACAAGGTGTGTTTGGCCATAGCGATGCCAATAGGTAGGGCTCCTTTGCTTTTTTCTTCGAGCCTGAGTCGGACTATTCCATAGATATTAGATAGTGATATAGAGAATGCCGTTCAGTTTATCAGACTATACTATCATGGAGGCTGATGAGACTAATGCGCTCTCTGCGAATGTGAGTTGCAGTGACTTTATGATTGTTTTGATTACTCTCTGGGCCTCGCTGCACTACAGACCAAATGTGCAAAATGAGAATGAATCTTCCGCTAGAAAATGGAAAGATACAGATACACTGCCATAGTTTTTATTTTTCTTTTCTGCATGTGGAGAGTAGTGGAGCGAGGCCCTCTGTGTATCAAACGGTGGATACTGTGGTTCCCAGTTATGGTGGGCCTTGTTCCACTACTCAACACATGCACAAAAGACAAAAAATATGGCGGTGCATCTTTCCATCTTCTAACGGAAGATTCATTCTCATTTTAAACATTTGGAGAGTCGAGGAACGAGGCCCTATGTCGGTTTGTCCTCTGTTACGTACGTTATTTGGTTATGATAGTAAGAAGGAAATCCAAAAAGTAGAAAGGAACGACAAACTGTCGAAACAGACAAGGCAAAAAGACAAGAATTATGGCCGTGTATCTTTTTTTCCATGTCCCAGCACTTCATTCACTCCACGACTCACCACATGCACAAAAGACAATATATATACAGTTTGCCACAGCCCCTCGTTTGTTGTCCTCTTCTCCCTCTCTGCCTACGGTTTACCGGGCAGCTCTGTTTGACTATATATATATATATTTTTTTTATAACAAGAAAGAGACAATAATTATGTGGTCGTGTGACTTTGCATGTTCTAGCGGAAGTTTCACTCTCATTTTGGACATTTTGGTGAGTGGTGGAGCAAGGGAGGTCCTCAGTGTGCCTTGAACCTGCTTTCTTCCTTCCCTGTTCCTGCTGTCTCTCCTCCTTTCGTCATTTGTTTCCTGTTTGTGGCAATTATGCGCTCTTTGTCACAACAAGAGCGTATTTATGGGCCTCGCTCCACTACTCACCAAATGCACAGAAGACAAAAAAAATGGCGATGAATCTCCTCATGTTCTAGCGGAAGATTGTCTCAGTTTGGACATTTGGAGAGTAGTGGAGCGAGGCCCAATGAAACCCATGAAGGATGCTGCCACGGTATATTCGACAGCTGCTGCTTGATCTCCGCACGGAGACCCTATTTTGATGAACACGTCGGGGGGGATATAGGGTGTTATTTTATGTCATCAACCTCTATGCACTGATTCATTAGAGCTGAGGTAGTTGTAGAAAAATATTGGCTGTGTAAAGCTCAATTCTCATGTTAGATGTCTTCTTCGTCGGTCTGATTAGTCGATCTCAGTTTAGCGGTTTGGCATAAAGCTATTATTATAGCCTTTTTTTTTTTTTTTTTTTTTTTTTTTTGGATGGATGGTGGATCAGATATCAAACTGATCAGAATAGATACTAAACTTGATCTATTTTTAGCCAAAAGGGCGAGAAAGGTATTATTATACTATTATAGCATAATAAATTTTCAAAAGATTTGTTTGTGCTCTTCGGGGAACACGAGAGTCCTGCTCCCCATATTTCTGACGACACTGATTCTAATAAGCACTCTCCTTCTCGTCCACCTAACTCCGCCGTTCGCTGTATGTATCGTCCCTGCACGGCCCTCTTCGGATATACATTGTGATTCTCCTTTGTCAGGTCACTCATCTGAAGTGATTGTCGCATCCAATAGCCACTTTCCTTGTGGACGTGTGGACGCATGGTGAGCAACCTCCCTCAGTGTTGCCACTGATGCGGGAGCACACGTTCAGCATGTGTCTGACCGGATGGGTTCGTTCAATTTAAGGAGAGGGAGGAGCGGGGGAGGGATTCAAGGTGTGGGAGGGAGGGAGGGACGGAGGGAGGGAGGGAGGGAAAGGGGGAAGGCTGAGATGTATGATCAGGATATGATGAAGCTTCCCCGTCCCTCCTCCCCTCTTCCCTCTATTGCTTAACGAAAAGGTGATGCCACAAGACCTTTTTCTTGGACAGGGGGGGGTATGTGCTGGTAGATTTGTGATTGAAGGGGATTTCATTCCTCCAGAGTAATGATTTAATGGATTATGGGGTTGGAAAGGCGTTCCCAAGTAAAGGGGTTCTCGTTCCTCCACAGTAATGATTTAATGGATTATGGGGTTGGAAAGGTGTTCCAGTGGACTTGGGAACAAGTAAGGCAATTTTTTTTTTTTCATGGTATGCATTGTTGTGTAGGGGCGCTTACCTTCTCCTCTTTCCTGGGTGGCTGTGACCAGGAAGTCCTCATAACTGGAGGGGGCGTGCTGATAGACTGCTTGTCGCTCAGAGGGGCACGAGTGCAAAGAGTAAGACATGGAGTGGACGGTGCCACTTTTAACAAGAGAAGCCCTTGGCAGCCATAGTGCAATCCATACGGTTGTACAGTGGAGCTGTGTGTGATGCCCTCCATGCTTCCTGTTGAGAACTTTCGCGGGGACTTCCGAACTGGGCAGCATTCCGTCCGGCTGAAGAAAAAACGTGGTCAGTCCACATCTGAATCGCCAGCTTGGTATATGTATTGCATGTATGCACAGGAAGCTCGTCGATGTTATTAAGAGAAGAGAGAGCTGCAGCTACGTTGTAGTTGCAGAGTGAAATGCAAGCCAACCGCACTTGTGCAGAGTCCTCAGGACAATCCATGTTGGTGGCAGTGCTTGCATCACGTGGATTGCTCCTTGCAAGGCTTCCCTTCCTGGATGCGGCAGCTCTGACATCTGTTGATTCGAGTGCCGTGGTGCTGAGACTGGCCGTTCACAGCTGTCGATCTCGTTGCCTGCACAAATAGGAGACCGGCAGACGATGCTGTGCAGCGATCGCAAGGCACGTTCTTCTTGCAAGGCTGTTTGTAGTGCCTATCCTGCTGGTTTGTCCGTCTGCACAGTCTTTGTTTTGATGATAAGCTCGGGAACCGTCACAGCAAAGAGAAGATGAAGATTGCAGTGGAAGGGTGTGCTCATGGTGAACTGGATGCTATTTATGGTGCCATACGATGCTTGGAAGAGAGGGAGAATGTGAAGATTGACCTGTTGATATGTTGCGGAGATTTCCAAGCGGTTCGGAACGAAGATGATTTGGGTAACCTGGCCTGTCCAGCTAAGTATCGGTCCATGAACACATTCTGGAAGTACTATGCGGGGAAGGAGAAGGCACCCTATCCGACTCTCTTCATTGGGGGTAATCATGAAGCATCCAACCACCTTTGGGAGCTCTTCTATGGAGGATGGGTTTGCCCAAATGTTTACTTCTTGGGGTTTGCAGGAGTGATCCGGTTTGGTGGGGTCCGAATAGGTGGGTTGTCTGGGATTTACAAGAGTCATCATTACCATCTTGGACACTATGAGTGCCAGCCGTATAGCGAGAACGATATGCGCTCGATATACCATATCCGGGAGTACGACGTGTACAGGCTGAAGAAGATTCAAGAGCACATGGACATATTTCTTTCGCACGACTGGCCGCGGGGCATTTCCGCACATGGAAATGAGAAGCGACTCCTCAAGAGCAAGCCGTACCTCGAAGAAGAGCTGCTAAAGAACACGCTTGGGAGCCCACCGGCTGAAGAGCTCCTTAACCATCTTCGCCCTTCCTATTGGTTCTCAGCACACATGCATACAAAGTTCGCCGCACTTGTCAGCCATGATGGTAGGAGACGTCCTCAGAGCAATAATGGCAGCGCTGAACACGAAACGACTTCCATTCTGAGGACAGGTGGCAATGATCAGTCGTCGATGCAGTGCACAAGGTTTCTAGCACTCGATAAATGCCTTCCAGGAAGAGACTTCTTGCAGATCGTGGACATCCCCACCCCACCAAACACGTCCATGCAGTTTGAATATGACGAAGAGTGGTTGGCCATAACGAAGGCATGCCACTCGTTCTTCCCATTGCAGAGAGTCCGAGCAGCGATGCCCTCCCGACCAGTAGATCTTCAGGCAGATCGAGCATGGGTTAAGGAACGATTGCGCGAACGTGGGACGTCTGCAGTCCCATCGAACTTCGTGGTTACCGCCCCGCCCTACGATCCAACTCCATCAACACCAGATCGATCGTCTTCCGGTGGAATGGCCACTCCACGACGGCCGAGACACATCGCCAATCCCCAAACACTGGCATTTTTGGAAATGTTGGATCTTCCTTACTTGCTTGACCACTCGGCGAAGGTGGACAGGAACGTTTCCGGGCCATGGCTTTGGCCACATTCACGAACTCCTGATTGGACGCTGCAGTTTGACGGGACACCACCAGCTTCGAGCTGCCCATCAAATCCTTCAGACATGGGAAGGTCTGCCTCCCAGCACAGGCTGTCGTCGAGAGAGAAGCCTGTACAGAGTTCAGAGGAAATCGCTAGTGCACTGGATGTTAGTCAGCCAGTGGATGGTGAAGTGGAAGATGAGGAAGAAGATGATTACATTCCTCTGTAAGATCGCAGTGATGGTAATGAGTTTGGCGAATCATTTCCGTCACGGGAAGCGAGTGTCTTGCGGCAGCGGTAGAGATTCAAAAGATGAGAATGCGGAGTTTACTCTTCACATACTGCTTATGCCAAGCGAGTGTGGCAGAGATTTGAGATGCGGAAGATTAGAGTGCAAGGCCCATGGCAATGCCCTTTGGGAGGGACACGATCATTTCTTGCGAATCAAGGAAGCGAACAGAACCTTGAAAAGGAGCCAGAGTGGGAATGTATATCAGACATGCTGAATAGGCTGATGAGGTGGGGGGAAGGGGCGGAGCAGGAATGTGTATATCAAGCATTCTGAATGTGCTGATGAGGCGGAGGAAATGGGTCTTCTGCAGAGAGCTTGCTAGGGTAATGCGATTCAGTGCCAGCTGCGAGATCCTATGTGGCTATAGAAAGGTGTGTTACGCTTTTAAGGCTACAGTAGTAAAGTGTTCGGCTATTTGCATGAGATTGGCTTAACACATAAGTGGCTGAGGATGTCTGCCACGTGCACGATTGCTCGTCTGTGTGCGCGTGGGGATAAGAAAGAGGCATTTCAACAAGGTGTTTTTTTTTAGTTGTAAACATTTCTTTTTTCCCCTTTTGCTTGGGAGCAAGCAGCCGCACATCGATTTTGACTCGTAAGGAGGTCACACGCATCATTTAGTCTGGACAGGAGCGGTATGGCGCCAGGTCAGTTCTTCAACTGCCTAGTATGGGTTACAAGATATGCGCAAAATGGGACTATTAACTTCTTTGTTACCTTTTACTTATGCAGCTTTATGCTATGATGCTAATAGGCAGCATGTCTTTCATCAGATTTCCTTTTGCCTTGTGGTCGAGATCTTGCCAGATAATGTGAGCAGCTGCATAAGAGCAGAAAGCTTGCCGGACTGGGGAAAGCGACCTCTGCTTTTTTCCCTGTTGCACCTTTGACTCCACTCTGATGATAGATAGGTCAGATGCGCTCAAGTAGAGAAAAGGTTGTGACGCGGGTGAGGTGATTTGAACAAGGTGATTGCTGATCTTGGCTGATTGATCAATGTGAAGGAGGATGTAGAGATATACCTGGCAGTCGAGATCTTGGCCGAGGACCGAAGCAAACTGAAAAAATGCAAAGATCGTGGTGGTGGTATGTTCAGTGGCGGATGAAGTGTCCACATGTCGTGGTGGCAGTGGTGGTCTAGTTGCTGGGGAGATTTGAACGAGATGATTGCTGATCCTGGCTGATTGGAGAATGTGAAGGATGTAAAGATCGACCGTATTCGAATCCGAAGCGTACCTTGTTCGTCCCGTACAATTTTTTTTTTTTTTCAGCTAAAGGATGTTGTTGTTGTTGTTTTTTTTTTTTTTTTTTT